TTTACTCAGCTTTTCCATGAAAAAATAAAATAAAATAAAACTTATTAATAAATAACAACATATCACACCATAGATAAAAAGGAAACACGATGCTTAAAAGGAGAATATTTGACGAATTCAACATTTTCAAGAGAACTCTGCATCGACTCCTCACTAGGATTTTGAAGACTAAAGAGAGTAAGATCACTTGTGCCCTCAGTTTGTTGTGGCTCAAATGAAGAGTTTGGTAGCCACTTGAGCATGAGTTCATTAACAATTAAAAGAACAGGTGCATGTAGCATATTAGAATCCCGTGCGGTTGTTTGCCATGTATTATTAGCTTAAGTACTATGATACTTAAAAAATTGAATATCAATCATGTGAAGATAATGATGTTAGGATTAGTTCTTCATTAGTTATAATGATTCTATAAGGATAAAAATTATTAATTTTATTTTTTAAAACTATATTTAAAGAATTTATTTTTAATATTTTTAAAGTTGATATTTTAACATATAAAAAAGCATTTCCAAAATAATTTTTTCTTAGCCAAAAAATAAGAGAGAAAGAGGAAACAAAATAGTTACCTATGAGACTACCTTTCTAGTATATCCACCACGATTTTAATCATTCAGAGCTTGTTCCTCCTTAAACTTCTTTATTAGCTTTTTTATCTGTCTTTTATAAATAAGCATGAAATGATCACTAATCATGGTCTGAGAAAGCCATAATTTAGCATACAGAGATCTCGGTGTTAGCAAATTAAATACACACTATCCAGAACAATATTTCAATAAAATTAGTTGTGCCAAGCTTCTAAAACTTGTCAACAACCAAAAGCCACATACCATGTTAGCCAAGTTAAAGTAAATGTTCAATACAAATGTTAATGTTGTTTGTTTGATTTTCTAAAGGGGATCATCAAACAATTTCGTCGAGGAGAAAAACAATTAAACCACAATACAAAAGGGATAAGGGAGTAAGAAACATGGGAGAGGTAACCAACTAACAGTGACTTGGTGAGGCCAGAAAAAGTTAAAAAGCTAATTACTAATTTGCTATAAAAAGCTCTAAAATCATTCTGCTATCTTTATCTATACACAAACTTATAATCATTCCATTACAAATTATTATTCTTCTTTGAAAGAAAGGTAACAAAAGCTTAAGGAAAATAGATATATTAACTTAACTATCTCTAGAAGCATATCAAATAAGGTAAAAATGAATTTTGCTAACAGTTAAAATATTTTGTCATCCATGACTTTTTAAAATGAAGGAGTAATATAATACCTAAATAACACGTATCAAGAATGTTACCTTAGCATGCAAATCATCCACAAATGCAACCAAGAATGTGAGAAATAAATCTACTCTATTTATAACAAAAGTAATAAAATCAGTTATTGATTTTGCTAACTCCCACGTCATACAAGCAGCTACATACAGTATATAAATATATATAGTTAGTTTTATAATTGCATTCAAGGAATAAAGGTATCACTTTAACTATAACTCCTAAAGGTATCATACCACGTTGTAGTAATGATGTTCTATATATGGCTATATAAAGAGGCATCTATTCTAGAAGGCTAACAGTGGATACAAAGCACAAACCTAGAGCAAATGTGACATAGGTAGTTGTTGATTACTCATTTTGCTCTCACAACATAAAAGTTGTGGCTTATGAATCTGCCATGAATTCTTCATATGTAGACAACCTAGCCATTAGCTACAATCTTATGAATGAAATCAGTAACAATGATCTAACAACAAGTTCATTGTTACATCTATTGGACCGTCAATTTTAAAAGATATTCAAAACTAAGGATTATTTTGGCTAAAATACGTAAACAATTAAAATTAGGAATTTTCAAAATACGTAACCAATTAATTTTGGTGAAAGTATGTACGCAATCCTTTGGACAATTAGCCATTTGGTTCATTACAAAGCCAAAATAAAAAGAGGAGTGAGATTGATTTTGGCAAAAGTACATGGCTAGGAAATAATGCTAATGGAGAAGACAACAAGGATCGAGTTGAAACTAAAGAGGAAAAAATTAGAGATTTTAAAAAATTAAAGAAAATGACAAGATCTAATTTGAGAAAGATTGCTTAGATTTTGGTAACAAATTTGATTTGAAAACAAGATTGATTAAAAAATGTAAAAAGGATAAAGGATTAGAAAAAGTCAACTTGAAAAGAGATAAGGATTAGTAATTATAGATAATTTGTAGCTTTGGAAAAATAAAAAAAAAAAGAGTCAAAAGTTCTTTTAGTGAAAAAATAAACCCATTTAGCTGTAGAAAGACGTGATATTCTCAGCGGCTTGGGCTTTGACGAGAAAAGTCCATTAAATTTGAAATAATGTAAGCGGTTTATTAAACTCTCACAAAAATATTCCCTTAAGAGTAAGGTTTTTTTTTTTTTTTAGTGAGAAAATAGATAGAAATTTAAAAAAATTAATTGATAAAGTAAATAAGTAAGAACAAATATAAATCAATATCATTTGGCTCATATAGGTGAGAAGTGTTGTAACATATTAAAAAAGAGTTATGATAACTTTAAACGTAATGAAAAAAATAACCATAAGAAGATATTATTGTGAAGTATATAATTATGTTGATAAATTTTAATTAATTATTATTCTTATAAATATATAAGAAAAAAAGCTAAAAATAAAAAAATAAATTGATAATGTAAATAAGTAAAAAACATAAAATTAGTATTATTTGGTATGTAATGGGTAAGAAATGTCATAAAGCACTAAAAAAGAGTTATGACAATTCTAAATGTAATTGCAATGTAAGAACAATCATAAAGATATATTATTATAATATAAATAACTATGATAGTAATGTAAATTTTTAATTAATTATTGTTTATATATATATATATATAAAAGAAAAATAGATAAAAATTAAAAAATAAATTAGTAGTGTAAACAAATGAGATGAAACATAAAATTAATATTATTTGACGTAAAATGGGTAAAAAGTGTTGTAATACACTAAAAAAATAGCTATAACAATTCTAAACGTAATGGAGGGTAAAACCAGCTGTAAGAAGATATTATTATACCATAAATAATTATACTGATAATTTAAAATTTTAACTAATTATTATTCTTTAAATATATAAGGAATATAACTAAATATTGAAAAACAAATAGGTAACGTAAAAAATGAAAAAACGTAAAATTAGCATAATTCAAAATAAAATGAGTAAAAAATATCATAACATACTAAGAAAAAGTAATGACAATTCTAAACATAATTAAAGGTATAACAATTATAATAATATTTTAGCATAAAATGGATAAAAAGTGTTGTAATATATTAAGAAAGAGTTAAAACAATTGTAAACATATGAAAAGTAAAAACAATTGTAAAAAAATATTATTATAAAAGTAATAGTTATGTTGACAACGTAAAATTTTAATTATTTATTATTCTTGTAAATATAAAAAAATAGCTAAAATTTAAAAAAAAAATTGATAATGTAAACAAGTAAGAAGTAACTTAAAATTATTATTAATTAAAATAAAATGTGTTAGAAGTGTCATAACACATTAAGAAAAATTTATCATAATTCTAAACATGATGAAAAGTAAGAAAAACAGTAAAAATATATTATTATAACATAAATAATTATGATGACAATATAAAATTTTAATTAATTATTGTTATTGTATATATAAATAAAATAACTAGAAATTAAAAAAAATGATAATGTAAAACAAGTGAGAAGAAATGTAAAATTAATACCATTAAACATAAAATGGATAATAAGTGTTGTAATACATTACAAAAAATTATGATAATTCTAAACGTAATGGATGATAAGAACAACCGTAAAAAAATATTATTATAATATAAATATTTAAATATACAACATAAAAATTTTTTGATAAAAAGATACCAAAATTTGCAATCAAAGAATCTATATATATAAAAAAAAAACCATACAAATAAAATGGTACAATGATAGCTTTTATTTTTATGATTTATGTTAATAAATTTCTAAAATTATAAAGAAAAATCATACAAATAAAATTGTAAAAGATATAACATAAATAACTAAAAAATAATTTTAAGATTAAAAAGATAACATAAAATAATTTATGTTTTAAAGTTAAAAAAATTATTAAGATGAATACTAAAATTTATATTAATTATTGTTATAATATTGTTTTTTTAATAATAAAAAAATAACAAAAATATTATTTATTAAAATAATATATGACATAACTATAATTGAATTTTTATTTTACTGTTGTTATTTATAAGAATAAATGAAAATAAGTATAAAATATATAATTTTTTTTATTTGTCAAATAAATAAAATAAATATAATTATTTTTATATTTTTTAATTAACTTATTAACCTTTTTTGTCATTTTTCTTTTTTTTTTAATTTTTTTAATTTCTTATAAAATATCATTATATCTCATAATCTTAAAATAAAGTCAATAAATTATAACCTTACTATAAACAAAACAAACCCGTCTCTTAGCTCGTAACACATTAATATAAATAAAAGTACAATAATCCAATTTGTCTTAAAAAGAATATATTGGCTTATTATCCATTTAAATTTGTTTATTTGTATTAAAGCTTGCATTTTATTTTCTATAAAAAAAATTTTAAATAAATTTTTTCTTTAAAGACAAAATGGATAACAAGTCAAACCTCCGACATGCAACCCCACACGAAAATCTTTGACTCGTTTATACTCGTTCATTATTAGCAAAACTATAATGTTCAAACGTCTATTAACAAATTTACTCAACACAACAAAGCCGAACACAATCGGCTCAATTAAATTATAAGTCAAGCTCAATCATAAAAAAAAAAAATTTACAAACTCCAAAACTAAACTTCTCAAACCGATTCAAATCATCCAAATGCAAACCAAATCAACCCAAATTCAAACTTTGAGAATATGATAGCTTAATTACACTTCTAGTCGAGGAAAGGCCATCCAAAGTCAATATTTGACCCATCCAAATTTCAACATGAATATTGTTTTCAATAACTCTTGCTGCATTTACATTTTTAAGAACTTTCAATATTCGTGGACATATATGAAATTCGCTCTCTCAGCTTTGTGCACCCAAAAAAAATATAGAAAATGCATAAGCGGAAAGCCAATTAGTAGCATTAACCATTAAAAAATATTTTTGCTTTGTCAACTTGAAGAAAAAGAAGACATGAACTGTAAGACGAGGATATAATTTTTGATAGATCAGTTCATGAAGCTTGATATTTATCCTTCACAGCCAAAGCTGCTGCATTATACCACACAGCTGCCGCCATAGCACCAGGATCTGGAACTGTTGCAAGTATATTCGCAGAGACATAGCTTGACCACCCCGCCTGCAACAGCTACCATCAGATCCCAAACACACACACATGCATTTAAACAGAATATAGATATTTTGCTAAGGCATCAAAAAGGCATAAAAGAGCAGTATCCTTTGACAGCTTGCATCTCAAAATATTTATATTGGAAGCAGAACTATAAATAGATGACCAAGTGCCTTCTATAGCGGAGCAGACTCAATCTTAAAATGTTCTTCCATCCTCTTTCTGTGTTTCAGTGTAGAAGTGTAGTCAAGTCGAAGACGAGACAATATAGGAGAAACTCGAATTTTACTCAAAACTTATTGCTAGAAACTTAATTTAAGTTTAATCGAATTTTAATTTTCAAACTTAATTCGAAATAAAAATCAAACTCGCTTTATTAGACTCATTTATCGAATAAAAATCAAGTTCAACTTTAAATTCAATTATTTGAACTCTCGATTATATATATATATATATATATATATATATATAATACTAGTTTCCTATTTAACATAATAAAAATATATATTAAAATATAAAAATTAAATTAAATTTACGAGCTATTTGTGTAAGGTATTAAAACACTCAAATTCGGTTCATTCAATAAATCGAAATATTCAAATTCAACCTCAATTCAATAATAATCGATCCAAATTCAATTGTCTTAATCGAATTTGAATAATTTACAAATTCAAATGTATCATTTATACCTCTACTTCAGTCATATTTAAGGTGTTGTTTGATGTTATTTTTGTTTTCTGTTTTGTTTTGCATTTCAAATTATTTGGAACAGCAATAAAAACTAATTACCTATTATAGCTAAAATCAAAACAAAAATAGTTACCACTAAATAGAAACAAGTTCTTTTGTGGTGTCCATTGTTTCAAAAGCAATTGCTCCGTATAGATATTGTTCTTTTGAACTTTTTACATTAAAAGCCATTTATAATAATATTTAATTTATTATCAACTTATAAAACTAAAAAAATGTACAGTTAAATAATAAATGACAAAATAACATATATTTACATTAGAAATATATAAAAATTGATATAAAGAATCAAATAAAAAAATAATAAAACCATAAAAAACACATTATTCGATGAAACATAAACATATAATAATGCAACAATTTATAAACATATTGCAAATAAAACAAAATATATTGATATTTTTCTATAATTATATAATTCAATTATATTTAAATTATATTTTATCAATATCTTTTAAAAAACTACATTATCTTATAACTATATTGATATATCCTATATTTAAATATAAGTACTATGTAATACCTAAAAATATATATAGCACAAAGTAATATTTAATATTTTAAAATTAAAGGTTATATTTTCATATTTTATTAGTATAATGTTTAATATATAATATATCATTTTAACATTAAAACATTATAAAACCTATTATTTAATATTTAAGTTTAACTATTACTACTACACCACACATGTTACTGCTGCTATTATTATTTAAAAGAAACATATGAAAGATTTTTAATATAATAAATAATAACATGGTATAACATATACACAAATTTATAATATTATTAGAATATATAATATAAATCATATATTAATATTATAGAATATATAATATAAATCATATATTAACATTCTATATTAATTTTTTTACAATCAAACTTTATCAACTTTGACTGTTGATACTTTAAATATTTTATTAAATTTTTTTTTTTTTTTATGAAATCATATTTGAAAACTCTCATTCAAAGATTTTAGAAAGTATTTTCTCATATTTTAATATGCAATATATTTAAAATAAAATCAAATAATAGTTAAAAAGGTTTGACACATAAAAAGTCAAACTAAAACATTATTTATAAGAAAAAAGGGAGCACTAATTTGTTAAACTCTGCTTCTATTTGAATTATTCTGTTTGCAATAACTCTGTTTTTTTATTATTATTAATTTTTAACATGCAGCAACACTACTTACCAAACATTTTTATTGCTTTCAATCTATTGAAAATAAAACAAACAACAAAATGAAAAGCAGGAAACTTTAACCAAACAGATCTCAATCAATTAAAGAAATTATCCTATATAAAGTTTTGTTACCATTCAGTCCTGTCCTTTTATTCGCCATTATAGATTATAGAGTTTCCACGGATGCACAAATTTACAATCAAGGATTGTGATTTTAAATTGAAGTTTAGGGACTAATTCAAACATTGAAAGAGTGCGGAGACTAAATATAAACTTAAACCCTCAATTTAGTTGCAGTAATCCTGACACTTACTCTACCGGTAAAACCTGCCTAGAACTCAACAAAAGCAATAGTATATACCTCAATAGGACACAATAAACTCTCCCAAAAGGAATAAGGAAAAAAAAACCTGCAAAAGAATAGTTATCACGTCTATCCTGTTTCTAGTAATATATTTTAGTGTCTTATTTGCAGCTCATAGAATATGAAAAAAGCTTCCTACTTTAGCATGTCTTCTGAGATGTAGCACGTAATATCACAGAATTTTAATTTTATACCAAAGAACAGCCAACCAAAAGGAAAATCCCAATGCAATCAATATCCTAAAATACTATATAAGCAAAGGCAGGATGATATAGTAACCTGTGCCTGCATGTGTTTAGTTGATTCAGCTCCCGCCAATGCAGCTTCAGATGAGAGAACAAAAGCAGTAGAAGAATCATCACCAGCAGTTAATCTCTGCTTGCAAAACAAAATATTACTATGAAATCTTAGACCACATCAATAAAAGGAGAAAAAAGGCAGTTGTTCTATATAACCTCCTTAAGAACTGCTAATGCAGGAATAAGGGCATCCAATAATGTACGATAACCAGCACTAGCCCCACCATATTTACTGACTGCAGCAATGGCAGCTTCAAGTGCTTCAGCCCCTGAAATAAAGAGTCATTAAGTCAAGTTGTTTAAATCAGAAAATGTTTCACATGAAGAGCATCATCTCACATTGCTTTGCTGTGACAATTGAATCTGAGTTAGCTTTCAACCGTGCATATGCTGCCTTACAAAATATATTGTATCTGTTTAAAGAGAAAAGTCAAGAGTTATATATTTCTAGCTATATCTGTAAGTACAAATCACGCACAGAGAACAAGCAAGCAAATTACAAGACTCCACTTGTTCCTCCCATAGCTCTTCTAACAGATGATCCAATTTCATTCACTGTTTCGGCAGCATCATTCAGAGGATAACTGGGAAGAGATGAAGACAATTTATCAAGTAAGATCATCAAGAATATAATGAAAATATTTGTTTGGAATGATAATCACTGAGGTACAAAAGCATTCTTACACAAAAAATTTTAAAACTATAGACCTAAAGCTGACAGCCATCAATCAAAGCATAAAACTTTCAAATCGAACTATTGTGCAAATAATAATTGAGGTTAAACAACTAATTATGACAGAGCTAACAAACAACGCAATAACACAACAATGCTCGAAACTCCAGCAACCTGTTTAACTACAACAGTTTTTACACATTAACATATCCCCTATGAGAAATATCCTCTTGTAGAATCATGAGCATCCAAGTTTTTGAAGCATCTCAACCAACAATATCTCTGGGATTCTTCTTGACATTGCAATGACACTAATACAAAGTGTACGATAAGTGAAATCAAATATAAGGGCCATGACAGCCCACATTGGAGGAAGTCTTAAAATATATATAATACTCAGTACTACTGGAAAACATCATAAATAAGCTAAATATACCCCCCCCCCCATACATGTTTAAGATAATGACCCATCAAAATCTCTGACACTTCATCGAAAGGCTATAAATGTCCAGCAACCTTAAGACCAATTACTATGGTGGGCAGACAGCTTGCATAAGTACATATATGTCCTAGCATTCAGGCCTAGGTTTGCCACAACTAATACGCTAGAACAATTTACCATAATTAAGCAACAAAAGGAAACATAAAAAATGATGAAGAAAGGGCATACTATTTTTTCATATCATCAAGGATTGCTGTTGCACCTCTGTACATCTGCAAAAGCAAGTTAATCATGCATATCATGCAATAAATTGTGAATCAATAACAAAATGATAATTAGGACAGCTAGAATGCACAACTTACTGTTGACCCACAGTCACCATCACCTACTTTGCTATCCCAATCATTCAAACTGTCCCGCATACCAATTACTGCATTTACTGCTGCCTCAATAGCCACTTCAAGAATACGGCCACGTTCACTAAGCTGCACCGGCCGACATAATGACTACCAGAAACAAACAAAAATTTAGTAAGATACTGGTCAAAAACAAGAAGAAACTGTTTTTTAAACCCAACAGGTCTTAACAACCCCCATCAACCACCCACATGTAATACACCGCTGAGGTACAAAAAAGACATAACCACCGGATTTAGTTCCAAAGGAATTGAATTTCATCTAAGTAATGTATGTTTTTGTTATTTTCTTTCTTTTTTTCTTTTTTCTTTTTTTTTTATTGATGTTTTCACTCTTTGGACAATAAAACACCTGCAGTCTATTTGTGAAACTATTTTATTTTTCAAGTCAAAAAAGCCTAACATCTGCCATTGGAGTTTCTTAGGCTATTCCACTTGATCCAAAGGATTATCAGTGTAATCCATATTACTTTTTGTTATTCTTGGACTTGGGGGATAAGAATGCACCTTTGGCCAATTTATATTCATCAACAGAACATAAAACAGTAATTAAATATTTTATTTTCAGTACATATGAGTTCTTAAATATGATGCCATTACATACTCTTCAATTGATAGTATGCTATTATATTTTCATAGCCTACCTAGCAAGTATAAGAATGTACATTTCTCATTCAGTGTTGTCTATATCCATCGATGGTAAAATCAAAGACTTGAAATGAAGCTAACATGTTTAGTGATAGCAACTAAAAACATAATATCCGCATTCTGCATGGAACAGAAGTTAAATAACTGTAAATGTAGCCTTCAATTAGAAAAGTTATCTATAATATATGACCTGTCCATTCCTAATATACCCTTCTATAGTAATCATTAATTCCAGGAACCCACCTCCTCACTCTTTGTTACACGAGATGGTGGCAATGGAACAGGAATCTTGGCTGGGGGACGATTACCTACAAGAAAACAGGGAACCTGAGCTCAATGAACCCAAAACCACCTTTTAACTTTATTTTAAATTTTCAATCTACTATTGTTAACTGTTGTAACAATTATACTGAAAGGTTGATATTGTATTCTTAAAAGTGCAATTTAGATCATCAATATGTGATGCAATATAAGATGTTAAATTCCAAACCAAATTTCTTCCTAAAGCATCTTACAGACAAGTGAAAAGAGGAAACATAAACAAGAAGTATCAATATTCTAACACATTGACAGACCAGCAGAACCAACAGGCCAATGAGGAGCCGTAGTGAGAGCATCCAGGCGTTGCAAAATAGTTTGATCTGCCTTCATTATAGAGATTGAAAATCCTGAAAGAAACATTGTACTGATAATGAACAATGCATGCAACAAAAAAGAAGAATTTTCTTTTATTAACAACAAACCTGCCATATCAAGAGAGGTCATAAATGACCCTGTATACACTCTTTCAACAGCAAGTCCAAATTCCAGCTGCAATTTAGGGACAGTCTTTCCAGCTGCAATCATAAGTTCCATCATAGGAGTGGCACCTAAGCTGCAAGTCAAAAGATCTTTAAAATAATGACAACAGTCTAAAAATATTGAATAGATTTGGACAAAAAATACCACAGGCCATAAATGCAAAGGGGTGTATAAATGAGCCAAACCAAGCTCGATTAGGGAGATAATTTATGTTAGTGTATGAGTGTGCGAGTTGGAATATTATGGGAATATTCCATGGGAGATAGTTTAGGAGGGATTAATTGGGAGCACTAATGTGTAATTTGTAATTGATTCTCTTTCCTTATTATTGTCCATATAATGAAAGGCTAATCCAAGGGATTAGCAAGTTGTTCTCTAAAGTCTTAATTTTAACATGGTATCAAAGCCAACAACGCAACCCTAGCCACTGCCGCCCCTCTCTCTCTCTTTCCCCAAACCCATTTGCTATAGCTCTTGCGTCATCACCTAAACCATTGCTACTACAGAGTTTGATCTCACAGCCCTAAAGCAGCACACTGAAAACTTTTCCTTTCTCTTTAACAATTCCTCATTAGTTGAAAAGGGGCCACCCCTTATTCTCAAAGGTGACAAGAAGAAGGGGTTGCAACCTCTTTGTGAATGATAGATTAAGGGAGACAAGCTCTTCTCGGTGTAGAGCATGGCAACAGAACTAGGGACAGAGTTCCTGGTTGTTAATTTGGGATTGTGTTACCCAATTGAAGGATTACCAATTGTGTTTTAGAGGAAGAAGGTTCTGTAGCCATGGCTAAGGACGAGGCAACCACATCGAAGGTGATAATTCAAGAGATTATCACGGGCTCACAATTTTCGGATGAAAAACTTGATGGCTCCAACTACTTGTCATGGAGCAAGACTATGTTGGTAACTTTTTGAGGTCTTGGAAAGGCTCAGTTTCTGACAAGTGAGCCGCCAGCAAAGCAAAGCTCAGAGTATGCAACATGGGAGCAGGAGAACAATCAAGTGCTTGGACAATTGTTCAACTCGATGGAACAATGAGTCAAGATGATATTCAATCAATATTTCACAAGGAACTTTGGGATGCTTTAAAAACTGTTTATGCAAATTCTGAGAATTGCAGAGGATCTCAGATGCTCCGAAAGCATGGACTAGAATGGAAGAATCTGATAAGAGCCTAGGGAATATTTTGTTGCGTTCAAGGAGGTATATGACGAGTTCAATAAACTGATACCCTTGTCTACCGATCTGAAGACAAATCAGGAGCAACGAGAGGTTCTAGCTGTAGTGTTTTTCTTAGCATATTTGAGGGAGTACGCCAATACTAGTATTTAGATGTTAGTAGGCAAAGATCCATTTTCTGTACTAGATGCTTATAAGTGCCTGGGTAGGGTCACCCAACATGATCCTCCACAGAAAGACAAGACAATATTTGTGGCCCCATAACGTAAAGGACGAGCACCATGCAGAGGATGTGGTGGAAGAGGTAAAAGACGTGGAAGTGGTAGAGGAGACCCATGGTCTTGCTATCATTGTAGACAAAAGGACACTTACGGAATGTTTGTCTGCATCTTTGAGCCAACACTGGCCCACCAGCGGTATATGTGACTAATGCTGAGGTTCAACCCCAGCAGCAAGACGAAAAAGGGGTTCAGTTATCCCAAGATAAGTATGACAGGCTCATTCAAATGCTTCAAAATAAGACTTCAATCTCCTCTCCAACAGCAACTTTTATACAAAGTAAATCTACTGCATGTCTAGCTTTCCCCTCAAGACTTGGGTGATTTATTCAAGAGCTTCGAATCACATGACGGGTACTACAGGTACTCTTTATTCATATACTCCTATGATGAGGAAATGGTCTATTTTGGTTGCTGATGGAAACTCTATAGATATTGTGGGAAGAGGCAAGACTCGACCTATATTCACATTACCTTTACATTCTGTGCTACATGTCCCTTGTTCTCTTTTTAACTTACTTTTAGTTAGTCAGATTACAAGGAATTTGAATTTTAGTGTCTTTTTCTTTCCTACTTATTGTGCTTTTCACCATCTATTGACAAAGCAAACTATTGGTAAGGGAAGGATAGAAAGAGGTCTTTACGTACTTGATGACATGCAGAAGATACAGTCTGAATTAATGACATACTCAAAAGAATTGTCATCAGCTTATGAATCTCATTGTCGTTTTGATCATCCATCTATGTCAACTTTACAAGTTATGTGTCCTCATTTATCATCTTTTAGTTTTGATTGTGAATCATGTAAGTTTGCCAAACTGCACAGAGTATCCTATCAACCTCAATTTAATAAAAGAGAAAAGTTTCCTTTTGTTGTAATTCATTCTGATGTATAGGGGCCTTATCCTATTATTTCGAAATTAGGTTATAGATACTTTGTGACATTTGTTAATGATTACTCATGAGTTTGTTTGTTGTATTTGTTGCAAAGCCTTTCCGAATTATTCTCTATCTTCACTACCTTTCACGTAGAACTAGAAAATCAATTCAATAAGTCTATCAAAATTTTACGAAGTGATAATGAGGGAGAGTATTTTTCTACAAAGCTTGTTCAATTCCTAAATGCAAAAGGTATTGTTCATCAATCCTCGATTACAAATACCCCACAGCAAAATAGGGTTGCTAAAAGGAAGAATTGTCATTGGTAGGAAGTGACTAGAGCTCTTTTGTTTCAAATGAAGGTCCCTATGGTGTTCTAAAGTGAAGCTGTCCTCATAGCATGCTATCTCATAAATCATTTGCCATCCTCGGTTCTTGAAGGAAAAGTTCATCTTCAAGTATTGTGTCTTGATCGTCCCTTATTTCCAATCTCCTTTAAGGTGTTTGCGTGCACATGTTTTGTTCGTGACACTCGTCCAGGTCAAACTATATTAGACCCACGTTCTTTTAAGTGTATCTTCCTAGGTTATTCACATGTCTAGAAAGGGTATTGATGCTACTCTCCAAACTTGGGTCACTTTATTATTTTGGCAGAGGTCACATTTCATGAGTTGGTTCCTTTTCCTTCAGTGCTACAATCTCATCCATCCCCTATCATATCAAAATAAGATTTTCTCATCTATCAGATACATTGTACACCTATCAATGCATCTCCTTTTGAGGCATGCCCAAATACTCAATTTGGTTGTACGTACACTAGAAAGACCTACGTAGATCTGCCTACGAAAAATTCCCCCATCAAGACAATCCCTCCATTTATGGATCCACCTCGAGACACTACAACTAAAGATGTACCAATTGCTCTACAGAAAGGTACGCAAACTTGTAGAAATCTCCTTTATACATGCCCTCGTACAAAAGACCTTTTGCTCAACTTTAGACTTGTATTGCCCTAATTGATGATATTATTATGCCGCATACTCTTCATGATGCTTTTGCAAATTTAGGATGGTGTAAGGCTATGGAGTATGAGATGACAGCCCTAGAGGCCAACCATACATAGGGCTTGGTTTCCCTGCCAGAAGGGAAATAAGCAATTGGGTGCAAGTGGGTTTACACCACAAAGTTGAATACTGATGGTTCATTGGCTAGATTGAAGGCAAGACTAGTAGCAAAAAGATATTCACAAACATATGGAGTAGATTATTTTGATACCTTTTCACGAGTAGCAAAGATGGCATCTATTCACCTATTTCTCAGTTTTGTTGCTACACATAAATAGGCATTACATCAATTGCATGTGCAGAATGCTTTCCTACTTGGTGACTTGACTAAAAAGGTATATATGGAGCAGCCACTAGGGTTTGTTGCTCAGGAGGAGTGTAAGGTGTGCCGTTTGCATAGTTCTTTGTATGGTCTAAAGCAATCTCACACGTGTGGTTCAGCAAATTTACTGTAGCCCTTGTTCAGTATGGCATGCGGTAGAGTTAGAGGGATCATTCAATAATTTATATGCGGCAGAGTTCTGGCCTTACATTGATGGGAGTGTATGTAGATGATATCATCATCACTGGCAGTGATAGTGCAAAGATTGACAAACTTAAGATGTATCCTAAGTCCCAGTTTGAGACCAAAGATCTTAGTCAATTGAAATATTTTTTGGGTATTGAAGTGGCAAGGTGTAAAAAGGCAATCTTTGTATCTCAGACGAGGTATGTGCTGGATATTTTGAATGATGCAGGCTTATTCCATGCCAAGCCAAGTGACACACCGATGGATCCAGGTATCAAGCTTTCTCTAAAAGATGACACTTTACTTGATAATCCCACACCTTAAAAGAGACTAGTGAGAAAACTAAATTACCTGACCATGACGAAACCTGATATATCTTTTCCAATGAGTGGTTAGTCAATTCATGGTAGCTCCTCTTTTCCAGTGTGTGGTTAGTTAATTCATGGTAGCTCCCAAGATACTCACTAGAGAGCAACAATACGCATCCTCTGATATTTGTTGAAAAATCCTGAAAAGGGAATACTCCATAGTTCTACTAGTGATGGGGATATTCTAGCTTATGCAGATGCAGATTAGGCAAGATCTCTTATAAATAGGAAGTGCACATCTGGTTATGCTATCTTCCTTGGGAGTAATCTAGTGTCCTAGAAAAGCAAGAAGCAGCAAGTAGTTGCTAGGTCTAGTGCAAAAGCAAGGTATAGAGCCATGGCTTTGGCTACAGCACAGGTATTATAGATGGTTCAATTCTTAGATGAAAATTTCAGTTCAAACCCCTACAAAGTTATGGTGTGATAATTAGGCAGCGATTCATATTGCTTCCAATTCAGTATTTCATGAAAGAACCAAGCATAAAGAAGTTTATTGTCATTTTATTAGGGAAAAGTTGCAGAGTGGAACAACATTATTAAAGCATGTGCACACCGGGGAACAACTAGCAAATATTCTTACGAAATCACTTCTAAGAGTTCGAGTTGAATATATATGTAATAAGCTAAGCATGACTAATATATATGCTCCAGCTTGAAAAGGAGTGTTAGTTTATGCGTGTGTGTGATTTGGAATATTATAGGAATATTCCATGGGAGACAATTTAGGAGGGATTAATTGGGAGCATTAATGTGTAATCTATAATTGATTCTCTTTCCTTATTATTGTCTATATAATG